TATGTTCCAGTGACGTGAAGTTTACCGCAGGGAAGACATTTTGTTAACCTGCTGCGGTGACGGAAGCGAGACATTCCTCTTTTCCCGTCCTGTCCTGTGGTGACGTGTGTCAGTTGATAAATTCCAGCCGTTTTTGAATCCTGTCCCAGAGGCAGACACAACAACAACAGGAAGTAAGACCATTTTCACAGGTGTCAGGAAACACAGGAAATAAACAAGTGGGATGCTGGGAAACAGCCTCATATGAGAACTCGGCGAGGTGAGGGATCTGACGGTTATTAATAGTTCGCGGTGGGTATTTTCAGAGCTCGCGTTGAAGAGCATCTGGGTGATTCTATAATTGGAGATACATTTGGAATTTCATAAAGTTAAGAAAAAAAAACTTCACTAACAGAAATTCTTTCCATTATCTTATTGAAAACATGTTCAATTTCAATAATTCAGTGCTTACCAAACACAAGTTACTTCCTTTTTTTTTTTTCTTTATGGTATTGTTTGTCAACTCTGTTACGCACAAATTAGGCAATGTGTAGAAATAACAATAATAAATCATAAAAGGAAAAATCCTTCTTGTATCATTAGACAAACAGTCCTTACATTCCAACATTTGGAACTGAGATAATATTTCACCTATGCCTAGCTTAAAAATGTAAAAAATGCCCATGTCTTCACAGAACCGTCCACTTCATATTTTCCATATGAAAATGTATTGTATACAATATCCAGTAAAAAAAAAAAAAAGAGAAATGTTGTTGAAATATTATAAGGGTGTATCATATCTCAATAATGTTTATGAGATCTTAAACAACAATTGTATAGATTTTTGTGAAAATAGTTCATAGACAGAGTTGACCCTTTAAGTAACAGAATTGTAAAGTAACAGAATTGACAGAATTATCCGGTGGACTGTCAATTCTGTTACACTATTGTCAGCATTGTTACTCTACCTTGGTAACAGAGTTTGACAGTAACAGAATTTACCATTTTATTTTATTTTTGCCAAAAACTCCACTTGCTAGCATAAATGCTAAGAGCACATGCCACTAATGAAATCGTGATTAAAATACATTTAAATAACCCAATTTGTGATCAGTAATACATTTTGTTTTCCTTTTGATATTGTGGTAACAGCGTTGACGTTCTTCAAAATAACTCTTGGTA